GAATGAAAAAAATGTTAACTTTATACATAAAGTTGAAACAAAATTGGATTAAAAGGTCATATGCGAACCTCAGCGCTAATAACAGACGATGTTAGCTTCTGTACGGGGCAGTCACTGCTCACATATAGACTTGGAACCACTTACACGTCCACGTCGTCCCCCAGCGGACTGTCCTTGGGCAGGCTGCTGGTAATTAAATTGAGGAGGATACTGATACATCTGAGCCGTGTTCATAACAGGGCTAAACTGCTGGGGACCAAAGCCAGGCTGGTTAAGCATAGAGCCTGGCGGGCTCATCTGTGTAGCTCCAGACAAGGGGGCACCCTGAGCCTGCATGCCCCGAAGGTTGTCCACCGAAGGAGATCCGCCCGGATATCCAAAATTAGCGTTACCCAGGTTCGGATAAATTCCACTAGATGAGACACCGCGAGATTGCGCAGCCAAATAAGCCTGGTACTGCGCCTGTTGAAGTGGCAACAAAGGATCTTGACCAAAGCTAGAGCCATTTATTCCTGAGGCACCATTCAAAGAAGCGATAGTACCTGCAGAGCCCAGACCATTCACCCCATTGATGGCATAGGGGTCAAAAGATGCAACGTTCGACTGCTGATCGACCCGGGCATTATCCAAGTTTTGTGAAAGCATAGCGGGAACGAACTGTCCATTGTACTGCCTGTCCACGGATGACTGAGAAGGATAATTCGAAGGTGCAGGGCGAGAGGCGGGACGCTGCTGTTGTTTCTCTGAGTTATCCCTTCCATGATTATCCCGGCCACCACCACGGGATGAAAGGCCAACCTCATCCATCAGTCGCTTATATCCTTGACTTGGTGTAGCTTTCAGCTTGGTGAGAACCTTCGACACGTTCTTCACAACCTCTGCACGCATGGATTCATCGAAAAATGGCGTTGTCAGAACCTTGAAGATCAAGGTCGCCCCCGATGTTTGATCGCTCAGAATCTTCTCCAAGACCTCATCACCAGGGCTGAAGAAAAGCGCCTTCAATACTATTTCACGGGCATCAGGCTCGTTGCGTTGGTTAATAACTTTAAGAACCGTTAAATAGGCAACCTTATGGGTGCAGAGATGCACCAAGTGCGGCACAAGTCTTGGAGCAAGCACAGTTCGCCGGCGAGGGAAAGTGCAGGTGTCGAGGAACCATGTGAGCAACAGCGCACCGTTTGCATTTGTCGCGAGCTGCACGCTGTGAAGGGAGATTGCGGCGGCAAGCATGCGCTGCTGATCCTTGGTGGCGTGGTGACTTTCAAGGCAAGCTCTCATCGCGCGAGCTCCGAACCGTCCTTGAGCAACCTCCCACATACGACTCAGCATACTCTCGAAAATGAAGTCATTAAACGAAGAGCCAAAGCGAAGACAACATTGTAAAACGTAGTTTCCGTATTGATCAAGGAAAAGCGGGACAGTGTACGGGCGGAGCGCCTCCACAATCATGCTCTTCTGATTTGGACTCTGAGCGACGTCAATGATTTTCTGCGCAGCCCAGGTACCATTCTTGTGAACACCAATCTCAGCAAGGTGTGGTGCAATTTGAACAAGCATTTGCTCTTTGATCGGTTCAGAGCAGAACTCAAAAAGCTTTTGCACTACGGTGTTGCCCAAATAGTCAGAGGCAAGCTCTGCAATCTCCGGTAGCATCGAGATCGCAGTCTCTTCGATTTCCTGGACCGAGCAAGCGCCGTTATCAATTCTCTTGCGAATATCGCGAAGACGTGGGGCATCAAACATCCTGGCCTGGCTAGGCTCAGGGATTGGAGGGATCTCGTCTTCATATGCCTGGTAAGCAATGGCCTGCTGGATGCTGGCAGTTATATTGAGTGTGTCTTCGTCACTAGCACCAAATTCCTTGACGATCTGCACCATCTCTGGCTGGAGTTCAGGAAGGGGAGGTATCTGCGGTACAGCAGCCCCTGAGTCAGAGCTTTCCAAGCCATCAGCAGAGCTTGACTTGGCGTTGGGATCAGGGGTGGGAGAGGACTGGATGCCGTTAACCCCAGGAGTCCCGGATGCAGAGGTTCCAGGGACCTTGGCATATCCAATCCGGACCGGGCCTGCGCCAGGAAAGATTTCCGTGCCATTGAGTATCGATTTGGCCTGGACGGCGCTTTCCACACGCTCGAAATTGACGAATCCACAGTTCTTGTGCGTCAGTACACGGGTGGATTCGATTTTGCCGTATCTGCTAAAGATGGCTGCCAAAGAAGTGATTGTGGTGGAAACTGGAATGCTACCAATCCACAAGGCACGTGTCGGACCATCCTGATTATTCTCATCAACCACATCACCTTGTCGCATGCCCAGATTAGGAGCACCACTTCCGCCCAGATGCATCATCTGCACAGCCTCTGACAATTCATCATACTCTCCACTCTCCGCAATATTCAAGTCAGCGGCGCTAAAACTGTTCTCAAGGCGCGAAGGAGTGGCTAGATAGTTACGAATCGAGGACCGCTGAGGAGGGGCCTCTAAAATACCGGCAGTCCTGGCCCGCGGCCGGTTAACGGAAGCATGGTTAGCAAATGCTTGGACAGCCAAATTGTGTTGATGGATCTGAGCCTGGGTAGCAGCCAGCTGGGCAGCAGTTGCTGCGGCCGAGGGTGTAACAGTACCCGAAGGAATCTGCGAGTAACGGCTCTCGTACTCAAGGTCTTCATCGTCCGCATACTTTTCCTTAGCGTTCACAGAGTATGACCGAAACCTATTGTTGTTTTTCATCATAGCTAATTCCGCCAGCAACGGTGGCAGGGTAGACGCTTGCTGCTGCTGATGTTGCTGTTGTTGCTGCTGTTGAAGGAGCATGTCCACAGAGGGTCGCACAAGGCTGGCTCGTGCTTGTTGCGGGGTCTCAGCAAGACCAAGGTAATCCAGCGTCTTAACATCGGTGTCCGTGAGTCCATCTCTTGAAAAGGACGAATGGCTAGGAGAAGTAGGCCCTTCAGAGGACCGAATGCTCGTGAGGGTGGTCGCCCGGTCGCGCCCCGTAGCCCAACTAGTAGAGAACAAGGATGGTCCAAACGGGCTAGATGAGCCGAGGAAGTTTGCCCTCTGTGGCATCGAACCAGCTCGGAGACGCGACAGAGAGCCTGTGCCCCTAGCAGGAGCAGCAGGAGCAGCATGAGCAACAGTCGCGCCTGTGTCGATTCCTGAAACTCCAGAGGGGCGAAAAGGACTGGTCGACGGCGTGGGACGAGAAGTTTGAGACATAAAAGATTGTTGAAGGCTTGCCTCGTTTAGCGCACCAACAGGTGAAAATCTCGAGGGAACCGTGCCAGCTCTAGCTCTTCGTGCAGGGCTATTGATCGAACCGCTCGAAGTGGGCACCAGGTCAGGGAAACCCTCTTGGCTCGGGGACTCGGGGATGTTTTCGCGAAGCGGGGTAGAATGGCCACTGGTAGGGGGGCCCCAAATACTTGGAGAGACGCCTTCTTCCGCCTGGATTTCTCGAGCTCTAGCAAAGCGGAAGGAGTGAGTTAATGGTATAATTACGGGGAGGCGATATCAGGATGGGTATGCTACCAACCTTTTCGAGTATAGGCGAGCTCCAAGGTCATGAGAGGGGGATCCAGCCCCTAGCCTCGCATTTCCGATTGACCCTGCAGCGCCATTTAAACCGCTTGGTCCAAACGGCGACTTGACGGCGGCGGCAGTGGACAAATCGCTTGGGGAGCTGCGCCCCGTAGATGTCCCGGACATCGGTTGAGTGGTGGGAATATAATTGAGGTTCATATGACCCTCAGGTCTTGAAACAGGCAGCATTATAGATTATTTCCCTCCGCCTTGGAAAAGGCAGGCACCAGAATTCCCAGATTATAATTTTCTTATGAAGCGATAGATGATGTTGAAGGATGAAATCCGGTTCACTCGGAGACGTTCCCGAAAAGAACCATGTGTTGATCGTACAATTTTTCGGCAGCTAGAAAATACCTTGTGGAAAATAAGCACCAATTGACACCCCCGGAGATGTTCATGAACTCACTGCTTGATCCGAGCGCACTCCAGTTACCAGCGTTCAGTGTGTTGGATCGGTGTGTGAAAGGTGTTCGTAGCGGGGTCAACCGGAGGACTTGGTCAAAATAATACGTAAGCTGGAACAGATGCAATTAACAACCAGAAAGCGGAAAGAGACGATATCAATTCTGCGCAGAAATCTGTCTGTTATGCATCGACGCCGACCACCGATAGATGATGATAATCTTGGCTAGTATTCAGATCAATCTGCCACGATCCACCAAGTAATAAGATCTCCGTGATAATAATTATCGCTAGGCGACCAAGGCCCACCCGAAAAGGCCGCAAGGGACACGAGCAAGACGACTAGAATAAATGATCGGGAGAGGGCAGAGGTGGAAGAAAGCAACGGTTCGCAAATGTGCGGATCGAAAGGGCCAAGTTGAGTTGAACGGGTGGCTGGAAAATAAACTGCGCGGCTTCCGGTCAGAATGCGTCAAGAAAGATATAGTGACAGTAAAGAAAAGGACCGAAGCAAAACAAATAGAATAAAAGTGAATAATATTCTAATTGAAATAGGAGAGGAAACGAAGAAGAATTATTTTTGGGGGGGGGAAGGAAAGAAAACAAGATCATAAGAAAAATGGTGAGGATGGAAAATAAAGACGCAGGCAAAGTCGTGGTAAGCGTAAGGTACGGTCTCGAAGAGCTGATGGGAAGGGGAAAAGAGTGGGAAAGAGACTTCGACAGTGCGAAAGGGAAGGCGGTTGGTTCTTTTGCCGGATCCCGGGGCAAGGAAATGTCATATTACTGTTACTATGGTTGGTCACCGGTTTACCGCTAGGAAGAGAGTATTCGATGGGAACCGGCATGACTGCTACTAGACTTGACTAGAATGTCATTCATACTTTGCTTATAATAGTTTCTTTATCTTTGAGCACCGGATTACAGCTTCTGAGACTCTTGCTCCCAAATGGGATATATCGATACTACTCTCGTCAGGTATCCATTTTGTATTTCTCTTCGTTTAGGCAGGCGAACGAGTCAACGTCCCCAACGGCTCCATGGGTCCCATCCATAGATCTTGCCGAACCAATTTTTGGAAGAGACGACTAAATAACGCATTCGTTGTGGTCTGTCATACTCTATCTCTCTATCCGTCTCCCCTTTTCCTTTACAATTTTTTTGTCTCATCTTTATCTCTGGGGTGTCGTTTTAAGGAGCAACTATCTATGCCTTTGGACACAGTACCTGTGACTTCAAGAGTACACTGTAAATCAATGGCTGCCATAATACCTTCACGCTTCGGAAATGTTTCAGACATGAACATTTGCCCGGTCATGTGGTGTCTGAGCTCCAAAACATTACTTACCCTCACTGGGCGCTGGGCTAACTATAGGAACAAAATCTAAATTCCTCATTAGCTTAAATGAGGGCATCCATTCATACCCCTGATGGCTGGGGTTTTCCATGATGCCATCGTGGACATACATATTCTGACCATATAATTGAAGTCCATGGCAAGGTTCATAGCTGAGCCCGTGCAAACTGTAACGCATGACATGTTTTACGACCATGTTAATTTTCAACCTTGGGAGGGCTGAGTAAAGTGTGAGCTAGTTTGTATTAGTCCCATCTGATTGACAGTCCTGAAACATGCTAAACCCCGCGTTCCACCGAACCGTCTCCTGTTTGGCATGGAGTCTTGCTTGCTGACATGATGCAGGTGGTATGGGTGCTGGAGGTACAGGTGATAAGACCCATCTATTGGTCCCCTGTGACATGGTACAGTGTGAGAAGGGGAGTGATTAGTATTCAGTGGGTTCCTTGGAGACTAATGGTTGATCTTTCACGTCCCTGATGCCCACACACATATACTTTGTGACAAGTTCCTCCCCCTCTCCTCTCAGTGTCACCAACCCACAAGTGAGTGCGTACCACAGTATGAAGCCAAAAAATAAGAGCCAATAACACACCTGGGAAGGTTCAGATAACTACTACTCCATAGGATTCTAATGAGGGCGAGCCCAGGATAGGCGGCCGTTTTCGACATGGGCAGGGATTAGGAACAGTTGAAGCAGGAAGTGGCCACACCAAAATATATTGAAGTACATCATGGTTTTTTGCGTAGAATGGAAATTCCTACCGGTGCCCTTAAAGAACATTGGATAAAAGCAAAATGAAAGGGGAGCGAACCCAGGGGCGGCAAAAAAAGGAACAACAAGACTGAGATTCGAACTCTGGCCCTCGAAAGAGGTTGCATAACTACGGATATCCCGTAGGGAACTACTACTAGTAGTAGGTGCAGCGTTAACCACTCCGCCATCTTGCCTCCTCGTTGGCTAAATTTGTCAAACTCATTGGTTTGTTTTATCAAAGTTGACTACCTAGGTATAGAAACAATTGAACATAAGGTGCCTTCGCGCTGAAGCTTCTTTCAACCCCGATACACGCTTATCAGCGAGATTCTAGGATCCAGATATTCTCTCCCGACCCATGAACCCTTAAGCATTCCACCAAGGCGGTTTCCGCTTCTCTGAAGCAGATCTTTAGCCGCACTGTACGTCGGTCCCCTACCGCACCCTCCTTCACTTTTAGTTACTTCACGCGCCTTTTCCCATTTTCCTTTTTGGCGTTTGCAGCGCCGGCCCTCCCATAAGTCCGGAGACCCAACAAATCTCCGACCTTTATATTAACAAGCCCTGCGGATTCTCCGAATCAAGCGCAAGTAAACGTCTCGCCGGATCCCGTCATCTCGTTTTGTCCGGACGTGTTTCCGTGATCAGCTTCGATACAGGCCATTATCGCGCCCCCCACTCAATTCCCAAGTTACACAGAAAATGGCGGATGATAATGTCGGCCAATCTTCCGCGGAAGAGGAGATGCCAGTGGTATCCCTTATTCAGGGACGGTCAAAACGAAGTACAGCAGGACGCCACATGTCTGCCCTTCTCAATGCCGAAGCCGATGATGACCTTGCTCTTCTATTTGAGGAGGTTGATGATGATAACGAGTTCTCTGTCAATGCAGAAGAGGAAGGGGGCGAAGAAGACGATATGGGTCTAGACTCCTCGTCGGACGAAGAGGACCAAGGGCCCAATGCTCGGTCTGATGACTACGAAGGGGAAACGCAAATACAGAAGGAGGAGAAGGCAGAAAAGAAAAAACGAAGGGCCCAGCAAGATCTTCGATTTAAAATAACAAGCAAGAAGGTTAAAATAGATCCCACCGCCGTGTCCGCAGTACCCGCCCCCCCTCGACCGAAGAAGAAGTCGGAGCGTATTTCATGGATTCCTACGCCTGAGGAGGGGCCCACGCGATCATCCTCACGTCGCCAGACTATGCAGAACAAGGAGCTTACGCACGCACGACTTAAAGATAGTGAGGAGAAGCGCATTCGGCTCATAGCGACTATGGAGGAGGCAGCGAAAAGAAAGGCGCATTTGAAGCCCAAAGAGATGACACAGGCAGAGCGCCTTGCCGAAGCTGAAAGGGTTGAAAGGCAGAATAGCAAAAGCCTCAATCGATGGGAGGAGATGGAAAGGAGAAAAGCGGAAGAACGAAAAGCCAAAATCGAGGCCCTTCAAAACCGCCGTCTTGAAGGTCCTGTTATGTCTTACTGGAGTGGCGTAGCTACCTGGGTTGATGGTCGCTTGACACGCCTCGGTAAGGTCGACATTACACCAAAGGTTGAAAAGGAGGATAATACGCGGAAGAAAAGCAAGAAGCCGGACAAGGAGGGAAAGGCTGCGACAGAGCAAAAGCCTGCAGATGTCTCTACTACCAGCTCTGCCACGACACAACCCGTACCCCCAACTATATCTGAAAGTGCTGCAGGACCAGTCATATCTGGTGGGGATAATACGTCAAAAGAAACACAAGACCCTACACCAACCGAGAAAACGGACCCTCTTCCCGTGCAGGGGAGTGATGCGAAACTCGAGAGTACAACTGTTACTGCCACGGGTGACTCTACAGTCTTGACACCTTCACCTGCTCGATCTCCTAAACTCGTGCCCGATGATACACAGGCCACCGAACCTGCTGCAGATGCAGAGCCACAGACGGAAGGAACGGAACTTCCAAAGAAGACACCTGAGGACAAATCTATAGAAAATGCCCCAGAAAGCGAACAAGAGTCAAAAAGCCGCGTCGAGTCGAAGCCCGAAGAAGCTCCAAAAGACCCAGTTCCAGGTCCAGAAGATGTGCAGATGTCAGATGATGTCCCCGCTCCGAAAAGTGAGGCACAGGAGGAGGTAAATCAAGATCCGACGCCCCCGGAAGGCAACGACATCGCTATACCGAAGGAAACAGCTGCCGAATCCACGACTCAACCTGGGCCTGACACAGTTACAGCCCCTCAGGTTGTTCCGCCCCCTCCCCCTCCTGCTACTATTGCTGCCGCCCCGGATGCCCCGGATGCCCCTGCTGTGCCTGTACTACCCAATCAAGAAGGAGAGAGTTCTGTGGCGATGCAACAGGAACAGGTGGCTCCGGAGGTACAACTGGATCAACCAGCTGCTGCAGGCGAGGAGGCGCCACAGCCTCAAATTCCACAGCATCCGCCAGTCATTGAACACGCTGGGAGATGTCTCACAGTACTGGAGAATTTTGACGACAAGACTGCCCAGAGCCGCGAGTTCAGCATCTATTTCAATGCGAAGAAGCCGCCAAGGCTTGCCAGTATGTAGCGGGCCCGTTTTCTCTACCTCTCATTTCCTAAGTTTGCTAACATCCTGAATAGAGATTTCTTCGTCACTCTGCGTTATTACATCCCTTCCGTCGCGCTATCGGGACCCCGAAACGGCTCTTCCTTTTGCGAACGCATACGCATACAATGAAATCCGGAATACTGTCGCTCAGAAGTACGCCTGGAGCACTATGCTCGGATGCTACGTGGGCCCCGCCGGTGTTGCTGCACGTGGAGTTCCCGAGCGCTTTCTAGATCCGAAGGCTCCGCCGCCGGAAAAAGCGAGTGAGAAGAAGGACAACAATGATGATGGTGAGCCTGCTGATAAAAACAAGGATAAAGTAGGTGAGACAACAAAAGCTTCCCAGGATACCACCAACGCGTCTACTCCAGCAGCTGCTACTACACCTACACCTGCACCTGCACCTGCACCTACAGCAGCAACGGAAACTGGAGCGGGCGATCCTATGGAAGTTGATAAATCATAAACAAGCAACAGGAACCCAGGAGGCTGTATTGCTTGGATACTTGTACTATATTGTGATACCCTAGATAGAATAATGGATTTCTACTACAATACCTTTGCCGAAGTACATACGTCGTTTAGTATGTTATAGTGACGGTCTGCTTTGCTCGACCAGGTCAGTTCCTTATATTGTTCAACAAGCCTGCCCGGTCTACATTGAGCTAGGTCTAAGGGCCAAGCTATTATTCTTTTCAGACAAGGCGTTAAAAAATGTGGCCCAAGCATCAAAAAACGAAAAACACTGAGATTCGGCCTCAGACCCCAGAAGGGATTGCATAAGTATCCTTGCAACGTTAATCACTCCGCCATCTTGCCAGAGGTTATAACAAAGCTTATCCTAAAGTTGATAGAGATGGGTTATTGAATGATCAGTCCGCACCTCATAGCCTTCTTCATTTCCCTCTCTATTGTTCGAGTGAAACTAGGCTTCTTGCACCTACTCTCCCTCAATTGATATACTTTTGTCTATGTGCCGTCTGTTTTTATCCCGAGTGTTACATACTGTCAATAGGTCTAGGAAAACAACGCTTAGGCTCTAGTACTATATTCTCTCCAGCCTGTCCTTGCCAGTAACAGGGTCTTCTACCCCCATGCAGTAACTGTCCTTTGTTTAGATCTCGCTGAGCTAGTGTCTTGGCCACTCTCGCCTTGTGGTAGTCTGTTACGACATCCCGTGTCTCTCTACTTGCGGATTACCCTGATATTAATATTGGTAAGCTGGCCCGATGCATCCTTATTTGTGGCACATATATCACTTTTGACAATGAGTGAGTTGAGATTTTACAAGGTGATAGAAGAAGGGACACATTGTCGTTGTGACTTGGTATGACAAAGAAACGCATGTTTTTGGCCCGTACTTCACCAAGCAGGAATTTGGCATTAATCATTAACACTAAAGCCAGGGGTATATCGAAATATCAGATCAAATGTTCGGTGGCCTTCAACTTTGATCGTGGCGTCGCATCCTAAGTGCATGCGCTTCTGACCATCAAAAATCAAAGTTAAGAATCAACATGACTGCTCACAGTGATGGGGGAGAGATTTTCGGTAGAATGTCAATCCTAAAATGGTCCTATTTTCCGTGTTCATTTATATCTTGCCATACATCCTTGACACAGCAATGGAGAATAGTCGATATCCTTCGCCCGTATGTCGATAAATGGGAATGGCAATTGTTCGAAGATAAAGTTGAGGCGAAGAAAGAAAACATAAAGGCAGAGCTCGCATTTGCAGACAGTAATGACAATCACCTAGTCTCGACGAAATCTCGCAACCTGGTACTGAGGTTGTGTCAAACCTACTAATGCACGTTCATTGATGACGAGATGCTCAAACCAGCTAAGGGTCAACTGTGGTATACCAGTCTAAGGGCTTTGGGTTCCTCCCTCTAAACGCGATTTAAACCCTGAACCTTGTAATTATATACAGCTAAAGTATATTATAGGGTTGTATCAACCATTGTTTCCTTTATTCGCATTATGCTTATCGATTGCTGTCATACAGAACTACCCCCTACGAGCGAGATAGCCAGAAATGAGGTGTCAGATCAAGGCTGCCTAGTAAGCTATCCTCGTTTGCATACAAGGTCCTTGCTCGTCAAGGAAAAGAAGAAGAATAAATAGAAAGCGGAGGAGTTTCCCCCCTGCGATCCCGCATCTGTTCCGGAATGACTATAGTAGGGTTGACTCAGGCTATGCTCAGTTCGTGTGAGTTTATTCTAAGATTATGTGGAAAACAGAATTAATTCCGTGCTATTGCGATATTAAACTACGGTATGATGACAGTGCCAGAAGGGCCGCATGCAGATGCAGAATGAACCCTGGGAAACACGTATAGTATGATTCGGCCTACCGACGGATTCAAGAAGGGTTGACTAGTACTAGTAGTTAAGTGTTAGACTCCGTTGTTAGCACGAAAGAGCTTCAGTTGACCATCCCATGATTGTCCGAATCGAGTAATACGGCATGTGAACCCTCACTCGTGATGCTCCCCGCCTCCATTCTGCATCAGGGGACCAAACCTAGAGAAGATGGTATTTGCTTTTTTCACCTCTCTCTCTTTCTTTCCCTCTCACATACCTTTCTTAGCAAAATGTTTACTTTTGCTGAATGACTCAATGCGCGCATGGCCAAATCAGGTACCTGCAACATTTCTGCAACCACCCTCCAACTGCATGAAACACCGCATCGGCGGTTTTATTTCATTGTAGTGGCCTCCTGCCCCATGCGGCTACCTACAGTATGAACTAGTTTGGATTGGAATGAATAAGTCGCGCAGCGCAAAGTGAGGCTGCCGGAGACCAAGCTGAACAGTCGAGAACCATGCCATACTACACACCAGACAATATGGCGGACAAGAACGGACTTGGGTGATGAATAATGACGGCCCACAGTGGGCTATTTTGGAAACACTGGTCTGGAATAGAGTCTAGAAGTCAATCTTGGTTTGGGACACATTTTCGTAAGGCAGGAATAAAGACGATCCCTGGGACAGGGAGTGGGAATTCGTCTCCGCTATTGATCGAAATCGATGTGATTGAATATCGAAGATGGATCATCCACAACAGCGGAACAGTGTTGATTCGTTGACGCGCCAGTCCACAACTGGATCCAGGACATGTCATATTATTATGCAGAGTCTAGCACCTAACTACTGGGTTTCCTGTCTTGAGTACTCCGTACTATGAGGTATTCGTATACGTTTCTTGTTCATCATCGACTTCGTTTATTCCCCGCTATGCTGCCCCGCCTTTGATAGTGTTACTTTTCGATTGCTACGATTTACCGTTTTTGAGAACCGTTGAGGGGGGAGGAAACGCCATTTATCGGAATAGTGGGTACAAGTGGGAATATACTGCCAGTCCTTTCTATTCCGTTTGGATATTGGAAAAATCCAATAAAGTGTTGCCTATATGTTTGAAATGTCCAATAAGACGAAGATCCGTGTGCGATACGGGGAAATTGCCTCACAAGTCAGGAGACATGGTTTTTTTTTTTCTTTCCCTCTCCCTCTCTTTCCCCCTAGATTATAGCGTCATACGAAAAGAGTGAAAGGAAAATAAAAGAGAAAAGGTACAAGAGAAGACAAAGAGGTAAGAAATTGTCATAGCCCACCCGTCCTTGTTTGAACAGGGATGAATAGTTCGATATGTGAGTACCTGAGCGAAACCATGTGCCATATGGTGCAATCATTGGACCTGAAAGGCTGTTGATCCTAGCGCACGGGTTCTCAGATACTGCAGACACCGCTTACTGTAGTGTTCTGGATGCAGTCCACATGGAATGCATGTACGTAAAGCCAATGCCTTTTTTGCCTCAGCCTGTCTGACTTGGCTAGAACAGGTGGAGTGGGTCCGGCTGAGCGTTGTTCATAGCTGAGGGTCAAGAGACAGACCTTTATCGCTATAGATTCATTCATGGATGCCCGAAGTCCAGAGTGGTAGCCCCGCGTCAAATACGCATCAAGGCCAAGCACCAGGCCATCCGAACGCAAGTGACATGATTGGAGCTTGATGTCCTGTTTGATCCGATAAGCGTGCTTCGGTCGGTTAATGAAAAAAGAAGAATATCAGTACATCCCTATTGGAATGGGGAACAAAATGACGGTGACGGTTTAGTTGTGATGTAGCAAGAATGGGAGGGGAGGGGTTATCAAACTTGCACACAGGCCATTTAATTCTTTTCCTGATTTCATTTGAATCGAATCATCCGCTGGGTCATATAAATCTAGGCAGAAAGGACCACAGAATTGTATGGGCATACTTTACGACGTAGAGTATCACTTTCCTCATATGTTCAACTTACCAGGCTTCTTCTCCACTCAATTCAGAGACACTCCACCTATTTATAGGAGACCAAACGCAGTGGGTATTCCTCTTCCTTGTACCTACTATACATAGTACTACAGTCTTGTGTCAATGAGTTAAGGGTGGAACATCAGTGGTGAGGTAAGCAGTGGTTGTCGTTACATTTATGTTCGTTTTCATGGAATGATTGCGCGTTTGGATACCATGCCTCAGGCACGCCAGGCAGTCTAGACCTTTCCCCAAATGGCGTGACTTTCCTTTTCGCTGTGACGTGCTCGGGTCACGTCAGCCCCTCGGGGGTCCCCTTCCAATTTGTTTTGAGCCTACTCCACTGTCTCAAAGAATGGCAGATCGTTCCAATGGATCCAATGATTCAGCGCTAATTCTGGCTTTTCTTCACAGGAAACCCCAAATTCTAGAATTCCGCCTCTTTCCTTTTTTTAGTTATATCCATGTCTCTCTTTTTCTGGTCTCTTCTGGCTATTTGAACGGAGTACATAACCGCCATCGCCAGATATTTGGGTTGACGTATTTTTATCTCAGATCCATATACACACACATCCGCATCACTCCATACTTATTATACTCGTGGTCTACCATATCTTCCTTCGGCATCCCTTTCTCATACCAGCCCTGTCGGTGTTAATCCCCCGAGTGATTTTCCTCGGCTGCAGCTTGACATATTTCGATTAATGCCGCATAGTCGTACTACAGATCATCAGTACTCCCAAAAATTATTCATTCGCACGTGCCTTTCGACAAAAACACTCCATCGAAAGAAAGGATAAAAACATTGCAGAGATACCGGAAACAAAACAAAAAAGAAACCACAATCCCCAAGAAAAGAGATTCCGAGGTATGTTACCTATCGCTGTTACGACTTATCTACTATCTATACGCGTTCATTCTTTTCCTTATCTCTCCCCACTCAGCGACCCATGATAACACCCATCAAGCCCCGTGTATTACCGTTTATTCGGGTTATGATCTATCTGACTGGTATTTAATGCGCCACTGCAGATAAAAGTCCCAGGAAAGCTTATCGCTGATTCTACGGACCGAAATATTTTGGTGGAGATTTGCCTCATTGCTGACTGGGCTGGTCGCAATATTAATCGCTCAGATCTTGTCCTACCTTAGCATTCCTCCTGATTGATGGACTCGCCATCGCACATCATTTTCCTGGAGAGAAAAAAAAAGGGAAATTAAAAAAGAAGAATAATTGGGGAAATAATACTTTAGCAATACAACGGCGGTCTGAGACAATTGTTCCAACGAGTTACTCAATCGCCCCTGCTAGCCGCAAATCCCTCATACTTTGGTGACCTTAGGGGAGATTTAGTGCTCCACCGCTGGACCCGGCGTCCCTTTGGCGCAAGGTACCTATCGTCGAACTATCCCAGATATATCTGTGGTCCATATTATATTTATACGCAAATCTCTCACCGCCATCCATGACTCAAGGCAACTTTTCTTTTCACCATCGACGCTCTCCTTCCGGTTCGTATGCCCCGAAGCTGAGAACAGCCCGGCCGGCACTACATCGGAAAGGCACATCCTTTGTGAATCACTCCATCTCGAAGCTGGGTGCAGGACACACCAGGTATAGTGAATCAGATAACGAGAGTCAATTCGAGATGGCGGCCAGTTTTCTCAATTTTTGGTATGTCTAGTCAATCTTTAATCGATCGATGAACTCATGATTTCTTTTTCCTTGGCCTTATCACCAGCTCTCCCCTTGCATTCCAGAAGCTTTGGTTTATCTGGAATCGAAGCTAACCCATTTCTGCAGTGCCATGTGCGAGAGACAGATTACCATACCGGACAATTCTCGCCTTTATTGTAGTGAAAGGTATGTTGCTCGCCTTATCATGACTTTATCATCTTCTACCCTGGCACAGCCCCCTTGTCTTCTGTTTATATCCCGAGCATGCCCCCCTCAACCTATCTTCCTCCCCGATTTACTTAAATGAACTCTCTACTTATACTTCTTCTTTAGTTGCCGTCGCAAGGACTCCCATAAACCACTCTCAGCTTCCTTCACATCGAATCACACCATGTCATCTTCCTCCACTCCTCCATCTTCTCCTCCTATGTCTCCCCGAACCATTGTACCACCTATGACTCCCACCAAAGCTCCTATCACATCGACTCAGGCCACCCGGATACTGGGTGAGTTCCACGACTCCACGACAGATCAGGACCCGTCCGAATGGAAGCCGGTAATACCCATGGGTACCAATGGTTCAGCCTCGCTGGCTTCATCGGAAGCCTGGCAGTATCTGTCTCGATTTCACAGCGGCTCTGCGCCCGTCCCGATGCGCCGTCCCAGGGTCGAACACCGGAGCTCAGCCAGTTTGTTCACGCTGTTGGGTAGTACGGGTGCCCCTCCATCGCTGACACATTCCCCATCTACTGCGGCGTCTTCTTTCAGCAGCAATGCTTCTGAGAGCTACCTGAATGAGCCGGCCCATCGTCCGTTGCCTCCCCGCCACAAATCCAACTTCTCGGGTAGTGCTAATGGCACGAAGGGCGTTGAGCTAGTTGTCCCTCACATGGAGGTTCGGGTGGGGGACTCTACTGTCGACATGACCAGGGGATCCATTTTTCCAGCAAGCAGTGGGCTTTGGGGGGATCACAATGACAAGTTGCCCGCAACCGTCAGGATTTCGGGTACCGTGCCCCTCCATACACCTGTGCGCCCGCAGTAAGAATTTCTGTGGGTAGCTGGATTGCTGCTGTCCTCAATGGGCTTAAGTGACGTGATTGTCATTGTAAGGCGCGTGGACATGGTGTTACGGGACTAGTTGGATTATAGCTATCTTTCTTTTGGGTTTGAAACTTGCGTGTGGTTTTCAAGGAGTCAGCGGATCTCCAAACAAGCGAGGAAATATGACGTTACGGACGAAGGACATGGTAGTTCTATCTTTGCTTTCAGAATTCAGCGAATCGCACCGAATAGATGTTAATAGCGCAGGCTCAGACAAGCATTTGGCTAATAGGTTACATAGATAAGGTATAGCAAAAATGGATTTTCATGTGGTGTCTATGTGACGATGTGCCGACAGTAGTTCTAGGGCTGACAAGTATGTACTAAAATCCCCGCTTTGTTTTGACATGATTACATACACTTCTCCCAGTAGAAAATATAAAAAAAAAAATAAGAAATTCAAAGACGGAGGCAAATAGACTATAATTAGACCCGCTAGGGCGATCCTTTGCAAATCATGCGCTCAATCTTGGGGTACTAAAAATAACGGCCGAGCTTCGTCCCATTCAAGATCCATCTAGTATACGTTATCAATACCTCCTGGTATGGGCTACTGGTTTGATAAGGGCTGGACTGGGACCAATAAAGAGAGCCTTCATATGTATTATTATCAATGAGTTTTTTTTCCTACTCATTTCTGTATCCATGGAATTACTGGACTGATACTTACACTAAAGCACTATACATAGGCAGAGTTATGTTAGGGCTACTAAGCCCTGACAAGCAGTACATACGTTGCAGTATATGTACTACTGTACTACGCACCACACGAGTTGAAAGGATCACACTTTCAAATCAACGTACTTTCTCTCGAATCAGCTGTACATTAAAAGGCTGTATCGGATAGGATACATGTAAGATGTCTTTCACGACGATGGCCAGTGTAGGTAAACCCTCGAGTACATTCAATATACATTCTGGAGAAGGAAAGAAAGATCCCTGAACATCCCCCTAGCATGCAAAGTCCAAACATGCAACGATATTCACAATGATCATTCGCTGACTGACAGCCCCCCCGACTCTGATATCATCAATTGCTCCAATAACCAGGAGAACAAAAAAGAGGGAGGATAACAAATCTTTTGAAGCCCACTCAACCACACACTCTCATGCAGTCTCTTCCAAAACCAATTGAATCTATACCCGGGGTCACGACTTCTCCTCCTCTGGATGTTTCTCATTTCCCCAGTTAATGTGATCCGCCCAGTCATCCGCATGGTCATCCGAAAAACAGCAAGCGTAGCACCCCTTCGCTGGTCGGAACTATATACGATGGCACTGGTTAGCGTTCACGTCTACCATATCCGGTAGGAGAAAAAAGTGTATAGGAAATGGCAGAAAGGCGAAAGGGAGAAACAAAAGGTGTTCACATACGAAGGGCACGGTAGGAGCCTCGCATCTCAATTCATGCACGCTCGTCACGCAATCCCCTACACAGAGTGTATTTCCCGTATCGATTCCATCGGATCTTTCCATCATTTGGCCGTAGATCCCTGTGGCCAAGAGGCAGAGGGTGGTGATGTAACGCACGGAGAGTTGGCCGCGCATATTCATATTGAGATTTATATTGATTGATCTTGGTATGTGGATAAGGTTGTATGTTCAATCAAGACTTTATAGATATAGAAAGTAGAGGTTCTACATGAGTGAGGACGTGCAGGATACTTTAACTACTGACACCCATGTCCCGTTTCTGGTGATATGCAAGGGGGACCTAGGTACCTTGGATGGGGAGGGAATGGGGCGGAAGTCGGGTGGACGAGAGAAGAGTTGTTTATGGGGTTGATGGAGGTTTCATTGGTGTGTCAACAGGGTTGGCGTAAAGGAATGTTAGAGGCAGCGCATTAACGGGGTGTCAGGAATTTTGGCTTGCCTGGGGCATGTGGCAAACAAACAAACATGCTCTCCTTTTGTTTTTGATTATTTTCTTTAGAGTCTTGGATAAACGTCCGATGATTTGGACCTGCCTACTCCTTGGAGGAATATACAGTTGATGTATACAGAGATTACAAGTTGGGTGACGATGTCTATGAATCTCTGCCTGCAGATGAAGGTATGGATCATGAATGTTTAGTATTTTTCAGGCTATAGCAAATGTATAGCTATTGAGAGGTCCTAAGTAGGGGTTGGCAGGAATAACTAAGGGGGACGATTGTTTATAGAACCCGGGACCTGAGATGAATCTAAGGGAGCCCCTCTCAAGGGCGCGTCATTGGTTTCGGGCAGACGCGACGGTTCTTTAAGTGTAAGCAAGTCCACGCCTTGAGGGACTGCCACAGGGGACATTATCTTGGAAAAAGTACTGGTGGTCGGTTTAGTTCTGCCCTTTTATCGCTCCTTGCTTGCCGGCCACAGCATTTGATGTAGGATTCTCTCTCTCTACCGAACAGATTAGAGTTTACTGGACAGGTATTAATATTTGTCCATAGTTGAACATCCAGTTGGAAAAACTTCGCGGCTAATGAGTTGTTATCAAGCCGGTCCCCCTTGCTTTCCTGTCTCTGCCAGATTGATATCAATACCTCGAATTAACTCCAGCGTCGTAACGACAGATCGTACACCCCATGGGGATATTGTTAGCCTCTTGAAAATGAATGTATTTCACCGCAGAGCCTCATCTTTTGGTTGATAATTTAGCCGGGTTACTTTTGGTGATTGAATACTTCCCCGATTTTACACCCCCAACGAGTGCAGCCAATGATCCATGCAGGGAGACCTTAGCGTAAATTTGTAACGCTATGTTCGAGAGGTGTCAAATCTGACCGTAGCGTTCCCGTTATGAGTGCCGAGGGAGTCGGGTAGGCAGTTGCATTGGTAAACATCACATTCAATGCAGTACGCAAAATGCTTCTGAAGAGCCGTCTATTAATCACAAACGAAGACGAGAGAGGAATACATTCTGTCATCCTTGAGAAGCGATATTCATCGCAATCAAAACAAAGCAGTTGCAGATGTCGGCTGAATGCTACTCAGGAACTCCACTGCGGCCGGATATAATTTCCAAGCGAGTGGATAGCTGACACCTTTCAGAACAACTTGAAAGGATATGCTCCCGAACGAACTTTGACATAGAGCTATGCTGCCATCATAACGTCGCTGAACACGAACATGGCAAATCAGTAAATGTAAGCAGGTATAACAGATGTCACTTGGGCTCTTCCCAGTCACAGATGGCAACCCACTGTTACCCTGCCCAATTCGATGCTTGAACCATATATAAGAACAGTACTGCACTGTTGGTCGACTATGATGAGCGTTGCACGCATTGTTCCATGCAGTTATATCCGCTGACCGCGGTGAAGAAAGACGCCCTTTAAATGAATTGCACCTCCCAACGGTGGCTATCTAACACCCCGTCTCGCCACTGACACTGAAACTTCGTCATATCTTCTATTCTCAGGGGCCGCGTTTCCTCCAGCAATGTGGGCTTTGATGCAGACATTCTGACGGAAACCCCCGAACTGTCAGCCAGCTAATTGACCGTGGCCTTGAATAGGTAACCGCCACCACTAGATGGTCCGGTCGTTTCCGTGCTGCCCGACCACTAACTCCATGCTCCAGTTCTGCGGGTGCCAGCCACTGGACTCGATAGTTATCAAATCACCTGATCAGGTTTCCAGAATCTTGACCTGCGATAAGTTCTCAAGCAGGTGGGTTTGAGTTACATAGCCCAAGGTTCCCCTAAATGACACCTGGACAAGCGTCAAATGGAGTTCCAATAAAATTACCGGGATTATTTTTCCTTCCTAAGGGCGACTCCAATTTGTGCCAATCAGCACCGAGTTACTGGGTGCTTCTGTCTTGGCTTTTTTTTTTTTTTTTTTTTTTTTACATGCATACTTCCCTTTCCCTCCAAGTGAAGGGCGAAAGAAAGGTACCCATGCTTAATTGTTCACAAACATCGCCACCTGCTCATTGTC